CTTATTTACTCCTAAAACTTAAAAACAAAGTCTGAATAAATTTCCCACTCTTCTGATTCAGAACAGTCTTTAAACATTAAAATCAGAAGAAAATCACTCCCCTGATTCTTTGAACCGTGGTATCCATGCGTATTGGTGGCCACATTGCAATTATATGTGTCCGGGAGCTGTGGTGGGTTTGATCTGTATCCCCTCTCCACACTTCCAGATTGGGCATTCTGTGCTGTCTTAATGAACCCTGGCAATTTGTCCTCGTTTTACCCAATTCTATCCTATTTGATTAAAGCAAGCTGTAGTGATAAGTCCAGTTACATTTTATGAAACAAAATTGGGACTCTTGATCTAAGAAGAAAATAATAAAACTGGCAGGGATTTCATCTGTGGGAGAAATCAAAGTAGAATAAACAGAAATGTAGTAAAATTAGCCTCTGTTGTTTCATTGTGTAAGCTAGGGGAATGCTAAAGGTAAACAAATGGCATCAGCAGGGAGGAGAAAATGAGACTTTTACTTTTTCCATCTTTCATAATCTCATGCATTATCGGTAACAGGGTGAGACGTTTTAATAGGGTGTGATCATCATTAAAAGGCAGATATTTATCTTATCACAGTGCATTAAACTCCCAGAAGGGAGTGGGAAAAAAGGGAGAGTGAATGACTCTCATGAACTATTTAATGAAACACTAAGGTTGTAGCTTTTCTTGTCTTTAAAAAGCTAAATAATCTGATATTGGACAAAACTGGTTCCAAACACACCCAGGCTGTACCCGGCGCCTATGCATTTTGAGAAGTCTCTTCTGTGTTCTGACTTTGTTTAATAATTTCTAATTATGTTCTACAACACAAAATTAAATATTTCTATCTCCATTGTGTGTACTTATTCATGAGCTGGGCATTAATCGTAAAACAATGTATCTTGTTATTTATTTATACCAGATGTGAGTATTTATGTTGCTCTGTTCAGGGTTTCCAGCTAGGTCTTTATTTGTATACTGAGCTGCCTGTTTTTGCATGAAAATGGTTTCTGAGCTCTGGAGTTCATCTCCACTCTTGTGTTTAAAACAACAACAACAACAACTTTTTTTAAGGGAGAGAATTTATGAATAACTAAGAGATTTCTGCTGTGGCTCCCCGGGTCTCTCATCAGCAGGGCAGCCAGAATATGTTTTGGGGACCAAGAAAATTCAATTTGGGATTTGTTTCACAGTTTACAATGCTGGTTTCTTGCAAACAAAAGCTGCCTGGGCCATGGAGAGCTTTGCTTCTGAAATATATTTGCATAGTGTTAATTTTCTACTTATTTATTAACTTTTTAAAATGTATGAGTTTGTTTGGGTGGTGGGGGATGGAAGTGATGCCAGTGTATCTTTCTGTGTCTGCCTTCATGAAATCTAACTTAGTCAATGGCTGTAAGAACCCACTGACAGATATTTTCTTAAAGGATATTTTATGTTTGCCATTTTATTGGCATAATTGGGCATATAGCAAACTTAACCTAGGGGTAAAAGTTTTCTTTCTATGCTGTTTTCCTCCTAATTCCCCTCCTAGGGCAACTAGTTTTATCAATTACCATGTGTTCTTTAATAGACATTTTAGATCCGTAAATACCCACACAGACACAGACACATATATATCCCCTTTTAAGGCAAATTTCAGTATACTGTCCTGCATTTTATTTTTAATTTGATATTTTATCTTGGAATTGTTCCATATCAAGATATAGAGCATGTTCTCATTATTTTTTACAGCTGTATAGCATATCACTGTATGGATATACATAAAGTATTCAATAAAAGACTGTATTTTATTCCTCATCTTAAATCAGCTGAACACAGCACAGTTATTGCCTCAGAAGACTTTTCAGTAAGTATTTGCTGATCCACACAGAAGGAGCGACTGGCTAGTGCACAATGATCTAACGGCATGGTTCTTTGTCAGTGTGAGTTGGTGAACAGATATACATGACTTATTCTTAAGTACTGTGCTTAAGAGTAAAGGATGACTGATTTAACTATTTTCAACATGGAGTAATATATTAGTCTCTAAAGAGTATTTACTCCCATAGCATAGGTAACTGCAAAACTGGGTAAAGCACCTACATTTTTTGCCGTAACTCAGAGGCTCCACAACAGGGAACCCACCAAATGACTATAGCCTGCAGGCATGTTTTGTTTTGATCAATTAAAATGTCTTTGAAGTAGCTGACACCATTAGCTAATTTAGAAATTTAACATAAAAAAAAAAAACGTATCTATAGCTGTAGCTTTTGTTGAAAAGTCTGACAATCTAGCAGGAGTTGGCCTGCCTTTCTTCATAGCAATAGCTTCTGGGGCTGAGTAGCACCGCCATCTTTAGACAAGAACATGAGTGCCAGGGTTCTCCCAGATCTGCCTTGGCCAGTTTAGCTCATTGCTTGCCTTGACCCAGTAGATATTTAAGTTTGCCGTAGCTGGGCTGACATATAAAAATCCATACATAGCCTTATGAGATGGAGCAGGGAGTCCCTTTTTGGGGATCTGCATACCCCCCACTTTCCCAGGCATAGAAATAAAATAAAATCTTGAGTTTCTTCAAGGGAAGCTAGCCATGAAAAGTACATAAATAACTTGTTATGCGAGAAAGTAATACCTAAAACAATAGCCAAGGAGTGGGGTCCAGAGATGTTTGGTTTTCCTATTGAAACTAAAGATAATACCTTAACATGTGTCTCTGAGTTATCTTTCAGAAACTGGATTTCCCCACCGAGGACCCCCACCAAATATATCCAGATCTGCTGGCACACAGACCTCAGATAAGGAGGAACTGAAGACTGAACTCTGACCATTGTTCTTTGTTCTAAATTTCTTCCGGTGGGGCTTGGAGGGAATCACACCCCAGAGCCAGTCAACATTTTTTTTTCTTCTGCTGAATCCACATTTTTAAGCAAAGCTTCTCTTCCTTAAAAAATTGCAAATCAGAAAACCTTTGAATCCACCAACAACCTGTAAGTCCCTGCTTCAAGATATCCAGTCCTTAGGCCAAAACCAATGTGTAACAGCTGTGTGTTGATTTACAATTTTCTCTCCTGAATTTGACCTCAGCCTTTAAAAACCTTTGCCTGCAGGCCATCAGAGAGGTCAGGATTTAAACAACAGCTGCCAGCTCCTGCTTGGTTGGCACCCTGTAACTTAATGCCTTCCTTTCTGTCACTGCCAAAGCCTCAGTGTGGATATCTGGTATCACTGTGCTGGACAAGTAGACCCCAGTTCGGTTCTATAACAGAGTTAACCGTCAAGATCTAATCCCGTATAGGAATAGTGCTCCAATAACGGTAATGATTATTATATTAGGCAAAGTAATGTAGGAATACTGGAGGATTTGTAGTACCAAACCAACATGATATTTGAAAGAAAATATTGTACTTCTAGTTTCTGGTCCAGTATGTAAAGAGCTTGGAAGCTTTCACTCTTTCCTAAAAACAAGTAAAACGCTGAACAAAGTTAAAACCAACAACCTTCTTAGATCTATCAGAGAATTGAGGTCACAGAGCAAACTGTTGCTCCCAAAATGGAGAGACAGAGAGATACAGTGATTCACAACTTATGAAAGCAGTAACCCCAAATCAGAACCCTTCACAGGAACCAGTACCAGGGTAGAAAAATCTAAACTGTAATTGACAAATTGCTGCAGGCTCAGTGTAGACAAGTGTGAGAGTTTGAAAGTCCCAGATACAGAAATGGGAGGAAAGGGGGCAATCTTAGTGAGGAAGACCCACTTTTGTGAGTTTTATCTCTAGAAGCTCTGCTAGTTCTCACAGAGAAGATTGGAGAAAAAGCCCCTTGTTCTTTCTGCAGAAGGGCAAATGTAATCATTTTGAAATAAGTCACAGCATTTCATTCTTAATAAGACCTGTTCGCAAGAGAAATTATTTACCAGAGCTTAACCTATTGGGGTTTTATCACAGCCTAACTCACCTGGGAGAAGGGAAATATATAAATCCAACCCGCTTTAGATATTCAGCCCCACCTAAGGGTGAGAAAAGAACCCAAACCAACACACACAAACAAAAAACCTGAGAAGCATTCACAAAGTTCACAGCCCAAGGGTACAGGCTCACTAAAAGACTAACACCTAGTCAGAGGACTCTAGGCTGCTTCCCCATACCTCATACCTTAGTAACTTCATCACTAAAGACCTATTTCCTGCAGTTCCTTTTACCAGTACATGATATCCAGCTTCCAACAAATAATTATGAAACATATTCAAAGTTTGAAGAGACAGAACAAGTGCTAGAACCAGATTCAGGTATGAAAGAAATGTTGGTGTTATCATTCTATGAATTTAAAATAAGTGTAACTAATAATGCTAAGGGCATTTATGAAGCAAGATATTGCTCAGTAATCTGGAAATTTATAAACTGAATAGGCAACCCACATCCCATTATCTTATGCACTGTGCATTTTTTATTGATTTTGGATATCAAAATATCTCACTCACCATGGAGGAAAAGGAAGGTGTGAGAATAGGGAAGGCGAAGAGCTATTTAAGGCTGAACAAAGACAAACATTATCCCAGAATGTGAGGGTCCTGAGGCAGGGCAGGCCTCATGAGGGCTCCTGACAAAATTATTCTATTACGTGCAAGGCAGATCTAGATGTGACATCTGCTATCTGAGGTCCATGATGGGAGGAAACTCAGGCTTTCAGCCACAGGAATTGTAACGTCCACCTGATCCCATTCCTCTGGTAGCTCACTTCCCTTTCCTTCACTTAAGCCTCATAGGTCTATATGAAGATTTACCACCTGGACTCCATGCTCTTTGAAATGTCACAGAATACAGGGATTCTACATGCCAAGGGTAGGCTCTATGTATTTATTTCCACATAGCTTAAATGCTGAGATTTGAGTTTTCCAGATGACAATCCCCCAAATTCAATACCTTGTGATCCTTGTCCCCTGCCAGTCAGCTCTCCAAAGAAAGGGCACCATACATTGCACATCTGCCATGTCTGTGTTCTTATAGCTTCACTCTTCCGGAGAAGAGGGTGAGAAAAGAGCCCATCCTGGTACTCACCGCTAATTTTACTCCAGAAATGGAACACGGGTGAGTAAAAACTCGCCACATTTTAAAAGACAGATCAAAATATCTCAGGTGCTTTCAGTTCTGGCACCTTTTACTAGTAAGGAGCTCAATATTAATCAGGCTATGAGGACCAGGACTATCAAAAGGAATACCATCCAACTCTACACAATAAATCAGCTTAGTTCTGGAAGGGAGACAGTTCGTAGAGGGGCTTTTTTTTTTTTTTGAGACGGAGTCTCGCTCCATTGCCCAGGCTGGAGTGCAATGGCATGATCTCTGCTCACTGCAACCTCTGCCTCCCCGGTTCAAGTGTTTCTTCCGCCTCAGCCTCCTGAGTAGCTGGGATTACAGGCACCTGCCATCATGCCTGGCTAATTTTTATATTTTTGTAGAGACGGGGTTTCACCAGGTTGGCTGGACTGGTCTTGAACTCCTGACCTTGGGTGATCTGCCCACCTCAGCCTCCCGAAGTGCTCGGATTACAGGTGTGAGTCACCGCACCAGCCAAACCACCATGCCCGGCCAAGGGGCTTTTACCTCCAAGTCTCTGGTTTGATTCCAGATATAACTAGACGGACCAAATGTCACTCTAATTAGACGACAATAAAGTTCCATAGCAAAATTAATTCCACAGTTTGAACTCACTTCAAGGGGACATTTGTCTTCATTATGGGACATGTGTATTTGGGGCTTGGCAGGCATTTCTGCTTTAAAGAAGCCCATGCTATAATGAGTGTGAAGATGGAAACCTTTGCCCAGTGCTGAATGCCTGGAGTTTGCTCTGAAAAAGGAGCCTCGGCCTCCAGGTGCCACTAGGCCAGACCTGGCCACCTTTTCAGACTTCTTTCCTGTAATTGTTTGAAGAGAAGATAGCAAAGAAAAACGGCCCTGACAGATTGTAGAGGTGATAAAGTTCCTGAAAATTAGGCCAGCTAATTTGGTAAAAGTCTATTATTGCTGAAAATCTCCCAAAGTTTCACACTTTCCCGCTTTCTATCTCTTATCTTCTGTTTTTAATTGAAATACACAATTCTGTAGAGGTTATAGCCAATTGAGTCAATAGCAGATCAAAAGCTTAGGCATGACGCTTATTTTGGTCATGCATAATACGTTTTTTTTTTTTTCATTCCTGAAGGCTCCCTGGGGGTTCATTCCCTCCTTAGAGTGATGGCTTTCATGGGATGTGGTATCTTGGTCTTCTAGAGAATTTTAGGGTAACTAAATCATTCGCGTCCAACAGCTGCAGGAAGATGGACTCTGGAGCTTCCTTCCCTCTCTCCTGTCTTCTTCTATTCTTCCACTTTCAGGGTTAGAATTTAGACGAATGTATTTCCTATCCTTTTTCAGATATGCAGCATGTTGGGACGACCAAGTAGAAGCCAGACATGGAGAAAGAAGAGAGAATGAAAGGTATCTGAGATGGTGACATGTCCCAGCAGGCTGTGATTCAGCTAACTTGCAGTGAATGAAAGACAATAAGAAGCAGAGAGCCAAGTTGGTACCATATGACCCTCCAATAGGGCATTTTTCTCTGTCTCTGAAATAGAAATAATATCTGGTGTGTTGGTATCAGAGAATTCTAGTAAGAAAGAAATGCATTATAATTTGTGTATGTGCTGGGGAAATGCTTTAAAAAGCCAACAGACCAATCACGCCCTACAGTTAAAACAATGTAAGCATAGAAAACTGAAATGTACAAATATATTCAGGAGGTGAAGGGAAGAATATAAAAACTGAGGTTGTTTTCACCTGGATAGAGATATAGATAGAGAGATAGCTATAGATGATATAGATTAGATTTAGTTGTAGATAGATTGATATAGACATATTCCACCTCACCAAAGTGTTGGAGATGCCAGGTGGCATGGCCAAACCTGACAAGTGTACAGGCTCTAAAGCCAGACTTCAGAATTCAAACCCTTCCTCTGCTGTGAGGCATTGAACAAGTTATTGTTTCTTAGATCATTGTCTGTGAAACTGTGATTGTACTGGTCGGATTCAATAAATAATTTCAGGTTAAGTGTTTGGAACAGTGCCTGGGCCTACTAAGCACTCAATTGATATTAGATATTCTCTTTTCCTCACGTAAGTCTCATGCATTCCTGCCCCAATATTTTTTTATTATACTCCTTTCCGTTTGAAAACTTCCTCTGCCCTGTGTATTTGAAACGGATGCTTTATTCATTTCTATTAGGTTTAGCAGGTTTCCCCTGACCTATCAAACTTACAGTGGTGTCTATCCTCTATGAATGCTTAAGGATATTCATTGATGATTCCCTAGAGGGACCGTAATTATATAATACTTTGGGGAATCATTTTATTGTTGTTGTTTATTTTCTAGGAAGTAGCATCAACAACAGAACTAACTTAAACCTAAGAATCAACTGACAAGACATTAAGCTGATCATTCATCACCCTCAGGAACCTCGTTTAAGCTTTCTGAGCTTCATTGCATTAACTTGTAAGTAAAGATAATAATGATAACATGTCCTACTTTACAATTTTGAGGCTTTATGGAAGGAAAATCTGTGAAAGTTCCTGATAACCAGGAAAATTGATTTACTACTCTTACATGTGTTCTGGTCTATCCAAATTAAATATAATGTCTTTAAGCAAAGAAGTGTTCTAGAGTATATGGCAGAATATTTTGTACCTTGGAGATTCTCAATTAATATCCACTGATTGTTTGTTAAGTTGAATTAATATGCTAGAGAGGAGAGATGCAAATTGAATATGGCTTCATGGCATGCATGAGAACAATTAGAAGAGACAGAGTAGTCAAGGCATATGAAAGGTGTCCCAAAATCTCAAGGAAAAGACTTGATTGAACCTTGATTAAAAGTAAAAATGTGTCCGGGCTCAGTGGCTCATGCCTATAATCCCAGCACTTTGGGAGGTCATGGTGGGTGGATCACCTGAGGTCATGTGTTCAAGACCAGCCTGACCAACATGGTGAAATCCCGTCTCTACTAAAAATATAAAATTAGCCAGGTGTGGTGGCACACGCCTGTAATCCTAGCTATTTGGGAGGCTGAGGCAGGAGAATTGCTTGAACTCAGTAGGCAGAGGTTGCAGCGAGCCGAGATCGTCCCATTGCACTCCATCATGGGCACAGTACAAGACTCCGTCTCAAAAAAGAAAAAAAAAAAAGTAAAAATGTGTGCATATCTATGGTGTGTCTGTGTGTGAAGAAAGAGAGGGAAAGAGAAAAACAGAGACAAAGCCTTAAAAAGTAGGAGAGAAACAATTTTCAAAGGTATAAAAATAAATCTCTTAGTATTAGCCATGAGAAATGGATATTAAGAGTAGGTGTTCTTGCCAGCCACGTCATGCACAATTCAAAGAGGAGAGGGTATGTACATACATGGCCTGCCACAGGCTTTTCATTGCTAATGGCATCAAATACTTTTGTGAAATTTACATTTCAACATGGATGGAGGTTTTCTTTTCTTTCTTTTTTTTTTTTCATTTTTTCCCTCCTCTATGTCTTCTTTTGCACTTAATTAACTAAACACTAAACTGAACCTTCCCAGAATTATGGAGGAAGTAGTTTAGTTGGAGCTTCAATTCTGGTTCTGAACCATTTTTTCTTATTTCAAAATTGTTATTTTCTATTCACCAAGAATAAATTTGATCCATCTGAAGCTCACACTTTAAAATAGTTGGGACTCAGGCATAACATGACACCAAATGCATATATTGATTCATACGTAACGATGGTAGGTAAGGAATGTACTTCATCCTGACTACATCGTATGTTTTCCCATATGACTAAATCATATAATTTTCCAAGAAGTACATAAACAAATTGGAAAAATCATTTTGGCAGGGTATTAGTATAAGTAGGTGTTTCATGGATTTGTTTCCTAAGGATAAGGATCATAAATTTAATCATCACAGATCTAGAAGTTTAGAAGTTAGATGTTTGGAAGACTAGAGAAAGCCTTATACCTGGAACAGGAAATTCTTTAGAGCATTTGTTCTCAATGCTAACAGCTACAAATGCCTCCAGTACAACACTAGTATTGCTAGGGTAATATCCTGAAATGAAATTAATGAATAACATAACTTATAAACATACGGATTTTTTTTTTTTTGAGACGGGGTCTTGCTATGTGGGCCAGGCTGGAGTGGCATGATCTCGGCTCACTGCAACCTCCACCTCCCAGATTCAAGCAATTCCCCTGCCTCAGCCACCCCAGTAGCTGAGATTATAGGCATGTGCCACCATGTCTGGCTAATTTTTTGTATTTTGAGTAGAGATGGGATTTCACCACATTGTTCAGCATTCTCTTGAACTCCTGACCTTGTGATCTGCCCGCCTCAGCCTCCCAAAGTGCTAGGATTACAGGCATGAGCTACCAAGCCCGGCCAAACATACAGATTTTTAAAAGATATGTAACAACTTTAATATTTAGAAAAAATAAAAAATTATATATCATAAGACAACATGTATTTCAATATCTAAATGCATAGGCAATGCTATACCAGGAAACATGATGAAGTAGTTGGATGTGCTCCCCTAAACGTGAAATATTTGTGAACGAATGAAGTACAAATCAGAATAATATATCAGGTAAGATTGATAGTCAAAATACCAGGAGTGGTACTGTCACCAGTGACATTATTTACTGAAATAACAAAACATTTTGATAAAGTTCTGAAAAAAAAAGGTCTTCTTTTGATATGCATGACAGTTGCATTTACAGAAAAGCCAACATATATTACAATGAACTCTACGTACAAAACAGATGTAGAGTCTAGGCTTACATACATGAAAGACTGGTAAGCCATTGAGAAGTTGGGTGGGGCTTGGGATAATTTTTTCGTGTGAGATTTTCATTCATGGCAATAGATTGGTTTCTTTGTTTCCACCCCATTACATTTCAGTAGCATCCTCCAAACACAAATGCAACCCCTAACTCCAATAAGCCAAATTTCCACAATGCTCTCAGAGATACCCTATACTGCTGCTATCGAAAATTATTGCTCTGGGGGAAAGGACCAATCTAATAGGAATATAATTTACCATAACTTATATGCGGGTATAGCCCTTGCTGTGACCTCTGTGGTCAGTAAGAAACAGCAGGGCTTCAGGGCCTTGGAGAAACTAGAAGCAGGATAGGCAGATTCAACATGGCATGGAGGACATTTGCAAGACCCCTAGCCCTATCTCTCACCATGCTCAGTTCTCACACTCTTCCACAAAAGGGTTTATAAAAGTCTACATTCTCCCAAGGGGAATCTCAAACTAACCCTTGGTAAATTCGAGCTGATCAACTCATCTAAATAAGTCAGGCCAAAAAGGAAGCAATTGGGTCTGATATTTTTTCTTAAGAACAGAATTATATTTTTGGTTATTGCCCCAGCTCTGTGCTTTATGTTGCCTACACTTAACACTAATCATAAAATTTCCTACTAAGATCAATCCAAGGTAAACGGAAAAATCAAGTGTTTCCTCAGGACTCCTTTTCAATCCTTTTTTCCAACTTAAATGGTCATCCAGCCTATTCTTTTAGAATAGGATATGATTCTTTTAGAATAGGATATGTTTCTTTCCAATTTTCCCAGCACATCGTAGTTTTAATACCTTCAAGAACAGAAAACTTACCACTTAATTCAAACTAGTACAGCATATATATGAAAAAATAAGTTACCCCTCTACTTGTTCCATTTATTGGAATTAGCTTTAGTCTCCTGTCTCAGGGTTTTAGGCAGCAAAATTTTGCCACAAAATTTTGATTCTATCCAAAAGTCATAATATTGTATACTGTTTCTTTTACTCTAGTCATATCCTTCAAGTTTCCATTTTTGCACCATTTATGTAGGAATGAAGATCAAGGAGTCATATTCTCCTCTTTATTTACTAATATTGCATGTCAGCAGAACAAGCAAAAAATATCTGTACAGTCAAAAAAACAACAGCTTCTTCTCATTTTCTTTGTTTTTAATTCTCTGGCAAACATAGACATTAGGTAGCTTAGGTGTTGGTTTAATAATGGTGAAGATATTCATGGAGCCAACTTTATGTATTTGGTGCCTATCTCAGTTGTAATCATATCTTTTTGTCCCCCAAAAATCTTTTTCAATGACATGGAGAACCCAGTACAGTAGGGAACCTTCGTAAAGGTCACTTTGTTATTTGCCTTTAGCAGAAGTTTCCAGAAAATCCGTTGCAAGGATGCCTTTTGCGTGACCCATATTTTTCTGAGCCTCCACAGAGTAGTAGGTGTTTGTTTATCTCTCCTGATTTATAGCATGTTTAGCATAATTCAGTTTCTAGCAAAATAAATTTGTATTTTGTTAATCATATATTTTACTACCTTGAGTACTATATGCATGCAATACATCTAGTACATTATCTATCACCTATTTATCTATCTATATCTATACCTGTAATTTAAAAATAGTCTCTGCTTATCCTAAATATGAATTCCTAGACCTTTTGCAATGATTTCCTAGCTTTCTTGGGTTTCCCTTTCCTTGGTTTCTCTTAAGATACCCATGTTTCAGGAAGGCCATTATGTTGTGATTTTTACAAAAACAAAGAAGGTTGAAGAGTAGCCACCAGACAAATACTTTGTAGTGTCTTTCCTCCTACACACAGAAGCTTGGTTTTTAATCCATCATTCTCTAGTCTCAAGAAAGATTACAACCACCACAACCGCAAATGTTTACTGCTATTTTGGCACTGTGATAAATTATTTAAATAGACCTTTTAAATCCTCATAACAACCCTATTAAGTAAGTTTCATTATTATTACCAATAAATAAATTGAGGTGTAGAAAATATAAATAACTTCCCCAAGATCACACAGCTAGTCACTGTAGGAGCCAAGACTTAAATTTGAATTAATGTCGGATTCTTTCTTGTACTTAACCTCTTTCTTCTGCTTATGAGATTCCCTAGGAAAAACAAAGATTCTAATTAATGTTAAAAATTCCACTGTGGCATCTCTGCAGAGTTTGTCACTGCTCTTTCTTGATCCAGCCAAGAATAAGATGCTGGAAAAGATAGAATTTGGGTGACCTTCTTAGTCAGCAGAAGAAAATAGATGTGTAAAAGCTGTCAGGAACAATACAGTTTTATTAACTAATTGCTGCTGCTTCCACAGTTGCCTACCATTCTGGCAGGTCCTGAGACAGAACTTCCACCAGACTCTGACCAAAAGGGAACGAAAGTCTGTCTACTAAAGCTATGTTGAAAGCCTCATGACGTTGCTGGTATAATAGGACCAGCCTTCTGGAACTCTGCCACATGACAGATGAAATCTCTAAGTTAGAAGTCTGTGCTTATAAGCAATTCTACCTGGGAGAGAACTGAAATCCTGGACAGGACCTAATTTTACACCCCTAATTTTGCAACCAAGAAAGTTATTTTCTAATAGTAACAATTGTGATGATAAAAAGGATAGCTTGTTGATTCCATGGTGTGACTCTTAAAGTTTCCGTGTTCATTGCTCCCATGTCAATCGTAATCCTTTGCTAATGTCTAAACTTTCACACTTTAAAATAAGACTAGAAATACTGTTTCTATCCCCCATGACAAAGAATAAATGATTAGTATCAGGTCAGGTGTTCAGGTGAGCAGACTACATGGTATGGAAGGAAGACAGAGAATTACTCTGTGGAGAGGTGAGACTGCATAGCTGAATTATTCCCATCAACTGCTTTTCACAAATTATCCTACCACATCCATTGCTCTCTGTAACCTCATGTTTACTCATTATATGATCTGAATTCATGAACAAGCCTTTAGTTATATACTTTCCGATTTCTAGATTTATATATTTTTTTCTGATGAATTAAAGTGAGGCAAGGACAATGGCAAGGACAATGCCCTTTATCTTTCTATATTCTCTACACATTAAAGAACAAAACTTTTCTTTTGTTTTTTTGTTTTTTTGTTTTTTTGAGACGGAGTTTCACTCTTGTTGCCAAGACTGGAGTGCAATGATATGATCTCAGCTCACCACAACCTACACTTCCCTGGTTCAAGCAACTCACCTGCCCCAGCCTCCTGAGTAGCTGGGATTACAGGCATGTGCCACCACACCTAGCTAATTTTGTATTTTTAGTAGAGATGGGGTTTCTCCATGTCGGCCAGGTTGGTCTTGAACTCCTGACCTCAGGTGATCCGCCCCCTTCGGCCTCCCAAAGTTCTGGGATTACAGACATGAGCCAACTCACAGGTGGACACAACTTTTTTAAAGAAAGTAAATAAATGCTTGCTGAATAATTTTCTGATGGAATCAATGCACTAAAACAAAAATATGTGAAAACCAGAAGTGGATTTAGACTCTAACCACAAACCTCACCCAAAACACACACACTCACACATGCACATTTCAAAATTCAGAAAATATAAACGACTTGCCCAAGGTTACACCAGTAGTCAGTAGCCATCAGGACAAGAACTCAGGTGTTCTAACTCCCCAATCCAGTGTCCTCTATTACATCATAAGCTGTCTCACAGAGCCTAACAAATGAGGCCTTATAAATATTACATATTTTCTACTGTCTTCATTTCTCTTTTACATTTGGCACATAATTTTTGTTGATTGGACCATCTAAACTTATACTTTTCATTGTTCAAGAGAATTGTCTCTAGAACTATCAACAAAAATGACAGGGATATCTATCCATATGCTCATTCATCCATCCCATACCCCAGCGCAGTTATTTACATAGCACAGTGACACTGAGCAAACACAGGAGGAGAAACAGAAAAAGAGGAGAGGACAAAAAAGACATTGAGGATTTTTATGAGCCATTTTCCTAACAGTATGCAGTATTCAATAAGCATTATGTATACAGTAGGTGTATCTATCACGGTTTCTATGATGATTCAGTGATAGTGTATTAGCCATTATCAGTAGAGCCATTACAAAAGACACTAACTACTCCAACTTCTGCTGAGAGCCACACATTGGTACATTACCATCTAGTTGCATATGATGTGGAAATCTGCAACAGCTTACTAGGCATTATTATACTTACAGAAAACAGTAGAAGCTTCTTGATAAGCAGACAAATACATTCCCAGAACTAGTGCCTCTAATGCAAGCTCTTTAACTGATGTCCTGTCCCAAATTGTTAATAACAACAAACCTTCGTGTGGTTCTGCTTTTGGCAGATTAACACCATTCCACATGGTGTTAAACACACTAGCATGTAAGATATAAGCGCACACAAACATACACAGACATATAAACACATTCAAGATTTAGAAAGAGAATTTGACTACTAGCTAGTATTGAACTCAAACACAGCCCTCTGAAGGCCAGATCTTTTCTCTCTCATATCCTCTCAGAACACCAAACAAGTGACCGAACACATAGTCAGCGCTCAGAAAATTGACTGAAGTATTGATTGATCTTTTTAAACTGTTACCAACTCTGCAGATTCTACTTTCTATATAGCCAGGGAGAAATTCCATGGTCATCGAATGATGATAATTCCTTTAAGGAGGCGAGTTAGATCCTTAAAGAAGGGAAGGCAATTTGGCATTTACAGGATTTTAGATTGCTATTCTTTTTTCTCCCCCAACATTCTAATGTTTCCCAACATTTTTTTCCTACCATTCTAAGTGGTAGAATTGAAGGGAATGGCGCTTCCATTTCTTTAGTGATAATTGTATTTCTGTTCCATAACTGAGAGGAAGTAAGCCAGCTTTCCCTGATACTCCTTCTCCTAATATCTGCTACAATGCATTCCTCCCCAGAAATATATGCATGCTGAAGTCCAAGCTGGACTTTGACCAGAGTGAACTAGAGCAAAGACTTTCTGAATCTTCCAACCCTGGACTCATGGGTGAGGAGTAAAAAACTGTTACCTGCTTCTCCCTTCAATATAGCTAACAAATCTTTTTTCACTTTCTCAAAAACAGATTCTCTTTCCCGATTTTCTCCTTGCTGAAAGGAGGGAGGAGAGAGAGAAAACAAATGCCATATGTAGCTAATCTGAAGCGGAAATTTCTACGGTTTAGAGCATGTGGGTTATTTTAAACAGCTATACAACAGAAATAGAGAGAGGAGGAAGCAATTTATACAATTTTTCAGTGAGTCATAAATTAGATTTCCTTTAATATCCTTCAACATGTAACTAAATAATAAAATACTCTTTTAATTTATTCTGTTAGCTAAACTGCTTCTTGAGTACTATATTGCAAAAAGACTTTATCACGTGATTCCTAAGTTCACAGTATTTATACACAAAGACTTAGAGGTGGATCTTCATAAGCCATCCACTCTTACCTCTCACACAGGACTGGAATCTCAACTTTGTGATTACTTGAAGATATTTATTGGGCCTCCAGTTGAATGCGACCAATGCTAATATTTTATATTTAACTGACAAATTGTTTTGCTACAACTTCCATTTATTAGTTGTAATGGTGTTCTCAGAACATGCACAGAACAATCCCACTCCTTCTTTATAGTCTCTCACTAACTAACATCATCCCTCGGTATGTTCTCCTTCACTCTGAATATCACTGCTTCTTTCAGTAGCTCTTTTGACATATTTCTAAGACTTTAAAAAATGACTCTTTATTTCATTTGAACATATTTTATGTTGTCAATATCACATCTAAACTGTGACCCATTGCTAAGTACGAAACTACAAGTGTAGTCTGGTAAGTATGAGTGCAAGGACTCAACAGAATTAATATTTTAGACTTTTTTTCTTGGCATTGTATTACATTTCTTCCCTCAGAGGCTGTTAGCTTGTTCAAATAACCTTTTGTGTCCTAAAATAAAGCATATATACGTACTCTAATCTGCATCCTTTCAGACATGGTATGCACAGTCAGTATGATAATGAACACTGCAACCAGATCTAAATGCGTTTAGATTCTGTCTTGACCATTCACAGCTCAGAGACTTTGAGAGAGTTGATTAATCTGTTGGCATCAATTTTTTTTTATTTGTGTTTTTTTAACTAACTGAATGCTCCCTTATATAGTCTTCTTAATTAGATGCTATCTTTCCAGTTTGGGCACTTTATTGCCAATAATCATAGTGTTCTCAAATTTTAGTTAATCCATTCAAAGTTTAATAATTGAAATGGTTCGAGTATTTATTTTCTAACAGCTTTTTATCATTTGCCTGTTAGATAAATATATAATCTACATCCCAGATGCTTAAAATGTGGCTCATGGATCAGCAATGTCAGTATCACCAGGAAACTTGTAAGAAATGTACACTCTTAGGTCCTCGGCCCAGAACTTCTGAGTAGATACTCAGAAATGAGTATCTACAAATGAGTAGATGTTCCGAAGTATGTATGAGTGCATACTCTATTTAACAAATATGAATGTGTACGCCATTTAACAAGGTCTCATATGCATATTAAAGTTTGAGACACTCTTTTTTATCCACAGAGTTGAGAAAAATATTAACCAATATAGCACATCAGAGAATTGCTTCAAAGATAGTAATGACCAGTTAATAATGTCTTTGTATATGACAGCTCAAGAAGTAGGAGAACTTCTAATGCTACTGTAATTTAAGCCATGTTGTATCACTTCCCCAGAGTAGAATGTAAGGTTTTTTTTAAACGATGTCCCACTTTATGCCTTCCCAGTTATATTCCAGCTCTTAATATATGTGAATGTGAACCAAGGCCAAGGAGGCTGAATGCAGTTTGTGTTCAAAAGGTAGATGCCTGGATTTCAATCTTGTCTTGACCACTTACTTACTCTCAGTGTGACTTGAGCCATTTACTTATCCTCCTGTCTCAGTTTCTTCAGTTGTAAAATGAGAATGATGATGTTATCTGTCTCCTAGCTGTGTTAAAAGATTAAACAAGATAATCCATGCAAATAACTTAGCACAATGCTTCATATGTAGCAATGTTCCCTTCCTTGTCTGAATTCTTGCTATGTCTATTAGAATTTGCTTTGGTTCATAATACACTCTGTCATATGTTGTTTCCGTATTTGTATTTTAAGAAACTTGATGAAAAGTTGCTGTCTTATACTGGTGTTTTTAAAGCCACAAATGGATTATTTGTCTAAAGTCTATTAGTTGAGACAGTATGGCATTTGGAATGCATTTTTTTTCAGTAGGGTCTTAACCTAATCCTCAAATGTATGTCCAAGTAATGATCAAGCTTCCACTAGTTATACCATGGTTAGTACTACTCCTAGCAGTACTACTATAGTAGCCATACTATAGTAACTAACAACCTTTAAGATAATATGTCTATTGGAAAACACATTTACTGTTATCTTTTGGACTCCTTCTGCTTCAATAGATTTAGTGTTTTTCTCTAGGGAGTTGGGAAGTCAGAAGCTAGCTGGAGGTAAGGATAGGGCTCAGTGCCCCAGAAGTCAGGTCCAACCTGCTAGTACTGTTCCATGTGTGTATTGGTTACACCTGACATTTCCCAATCTCTCTGAGGAATAGGGTGGTAAATACCTGTGTAGATAGAGAGATGCCTCAGCCTTAGAACTAAAAGTATTAGATTTGTGTCCCAGCTTTCATGTTTACTAAACTTTGAGCCTTATTTAATTTAAATCATCTGGGCTTTGACTTCCTTATTTATAAAATAGAAAGAAAT